CCAGCCCTGCACCTTGTTGTCTCAGATTCTCCAGCATCTGCAGTTCCTACTATCTCTGATTCAATTTGAGCAGTGTCCCCTAGTTTTGGATTCAGATATGTGTAACCAGCCTTTCTATGCCCATGTTGTTAACACTGTTCAAGGTGGTGTATAGTTTGATCAAGTCACCTCTCACCCTTCTAATTTCCAGTGGAAATTCCTTTCCTTATAAAACAATCTCCTCATTCCAAGTTTCAATCTACTAATCTTAATGCATTTAGATTCTTTCATAAATAAAAGGACAGAAATTGTGTGCAGTATTTGAGATATGCCGTCACCAACACCATATATAGCTGAAACATAATATTCCTACTTTTTAATTCCTCTCCTAATAAAGGATAGCATTATTGAACAATCCTGATCTATCCAACGTGTTGCCTTAATCAGGAAAATTTGGCTTTGCAGGTTTCAAAGCCAGCCCTAGATGGAGTACAAATTTATGAAGAGAAATAATTTTATACTGCAATACAGGGCCAAATCACAGCTTCCTGTTGTAGAACTTGATGATACACTTACCACATTTCAACAGTTTATAAGCAGACATTGACAAAATAATGAAAACAGGTCGGCCTGTATTTGGAACCTGGATTACACTTCCATGAATTTTGACATTCCAACGAGCAAGTTTGGAGAGACAACAGTGTCAGTGAAGAATAAAGAAAGGAGGTTCCCCATTGTGCTGACGTGTATGTCGAAAGACAAAAACTAAAGCAATGTTGATATTCAGGAGAAAAGCCTTCCCAAAACAGCAGTTCCCAAAAAGGTTTCAGAGCTAGTAGGAACTGCAGATGCTGGACAATCTGAGATAATAAGGTGCAGAGCTGGATGAACACAGCAGGCCAAGCAGCATCAGAGGAGCAGGTCTAGGCCCGAAACGTCAGCCTTCCTGCTCCTCTGATGCTGCTTGGCCTGCCGTGTTCATCCAGCTTTACACCTTGTTATCTTAGTTCCCAAAAAGGACAAGTTTTCTGTGTTCATGGTAAAGGATGGATGAAGGTAACTCGAAAATATTGTGAGGAAAGTTTGGAGTTTGTGACCAGAAGGATTATGTAAACAAAATGACTTCACATGTGGGAAATGTTCAGACCACATCTAGTTGATAATGCTGTTGCTGAAGTTAGATTGTAAAACAATGATTTGCAGTGACTCCTAGTGGTCTAACAAGCCTTGCTCAAGCATTGGATGCCTCTCTAAACTAGCCCTTCAAGGATAGGAATAAGAAATATGTGGAATGAAGCATCAATTGGTAGAGACAAGATGTTCACCAAGGGAGGCAGAATATGGACTTCAACATAAAATTGGAAGTGTAGTGGAATTCAAAGAGCAGATGACACCAAAATTGGAGGTGTCATGGACAGCAGAGAAGGTTACCACAGAGTACAATGGGATCTTGACCAGATGGATCAATAGGCTGAGGAGTGGCAGATGAAGTTTAAGTTAGATAAATGGGGGCAGGACTTGTACACTTAATGGTAAGAATCACAGAATGGAAACAGGCCATTTGGCCCAACAAGTCCACACCACTCCTCCAAAGAGCATCCCACCCAGACCCATTCCCCTATATTTCCCATGTCTAACCCAAACATCCTAGGGCACTACGAGCAATTTAGCATGGCCAATCCACTTACCTGCACATCTTTGGACTGTGGGAGGAAACAGGAGCACCCAGAGGAAACCCACGCAGACCCCAGGAGAATGTGCAAACTGCACACAGATAGTCACCCAAGGTTGGAATTGAGCCTGTGTCCCTGGCGCTGTGAGGCAGCAGTGCTAACCACCATGCCACCCCCTAGGGAGTGTTACTGAACAAAGAGACCTTGGAGTGCAGGTTCATAGTTCCTTGAAAGTGGAGTCACAGGTAGATAGGATAGTGAAGAAGGCGTTTGGTATGCTTGCCTTTATTGGTCAGTGCATTGAGTATAGGAGTTGAGAGGTCATGTTGCGACTATACAGGACATTAGTTAAGCCACTATTTGAAAACAGTGTGCAGTTCTGGTCTCCCTGATGCTTTCTTTATTAGCTCTAATTTTGCTTATTACTGACTCTATGGCTAAAGCTTTAACCGTTAACTAACACAACCACTTCATTTAAGGGGGTTTATTGCTTGTTAATTCTCTTATTGACACCGCAGCTTGCATCATTAATATTCAGCTTCTTATGTTACCAAACACACTAAATAAGTTAGACATTGAGAATTCTCAACATGGAAATCAGCGTACCTGCCAATTTCAGCTTGTTGCTTGCTCTGAAGAAGCTCAGTGTTGGAAAATGGACACCAAAGTGCTCTCAGTGGGCACCAGCCACATGCAACACATGTCCATGGTTGCACATCTGACATGTGCCAACCTCTAAGAACTGTCATGGCACATTTCTGCTGAACTTTTGTGCTTCAATGCTGTAACTATCATTGAAGCGCTGCAGGAAGGACATCAGGGACCCACACCCAGCTGATGGACTGGACAACACTGCGTATCTGGGCTCTTTGCTCATTGTCATAGTGCTCACTCTGAGATGCTTACAACATCCCTGCCTTGCATTGCCTAACCTTTTTGAACTTTGCCCCCCCCCTCAACCTGAGATACTAGGCTAATATTGCCTCTTCCTTGCATTGCCATGCATTTAATGCTGACACAAAGCCAGGAGGCTGATCATGGTTATAACTCAGTCAAGGGCGATAGTCTTCACTCAGGATGGGGGGTGCTGGGTCCTGGCACAGTAAATCAAGGGCAGCTTCTGATACCATTTCAGATGCTTGGATATGGTCAGTCAACCACACAGGGCTGTCAGAATCAGGATCTCTCCACAAAAGGGATGAAGAGTCAAATGTCAAACGGCCGACAACATCTGGACTCTTTCTGGGCTGTCTTCCTCCTGGAATGAAAGTGGGTGGCACAGCTGTTACTTTTACTGCATGTGGGAGATTTTTACTGCATGTGGGAGATTTTGCAAGCAAGTGAGTAGGCAGATTAGAGGGTATGCAGGGTTAGTGGTGTCAGGTATTGGGTTGGTGAGAATGAATAGGAAAATGTTGCAGGTACTAATGAGAGTGGTAGAGCTTGAGCCTTGGCAGGAGGTAAGTACCATAGCTGAGATAGAGTGAGTGTGAGGTAGCAGAGGTGTTACTTATATTGACAGAGTAGAGAAGTAAATGAATTTCTCCTTCAGTCTAGGTGTTCCCAGATGGCAGAGACTGCATTAACCTTGGTGAAACCTTGGAACAGGCCGGCATGGTTCTGGGTCAAGAGGATGACCAGCATCTGCACCACCCTATCTAGCAACACCTCCAGGTTCCTGTTCACAAAGCAAGGTGTCTGCCCTTTGCCTGCTACATTCAGGGCAAATGTGTCGGGCAGCTCCAGACCGACATTCTTGTCCAGGTGCATAGTTGACTTTTAACTATAGTGCAGGTTTGATGGATGCTAGTCATTTGGCAGATATTTGCTAAGTGGCAAGTTGCTCTGGGAATGGCATGTGGTAAGATGGGGATAGAATTGGACATGAGGAATGCCATAGGAGCAGGGTAGGTAGTTAACGAGGTGAGTTTGGTAAGAACTTTTTTGGAAAATTCAAATATAGTCAAAATTCATAAAGATTTAACCCTTGGTTTTAAAGATGAAGAGGGTGTGATTTTTTTTAAAAAATGGATTGTAATACAGGTTCCAAGTATGCACAGCTGTTAAGCAGCAACCTTTTCTGTGAAAAAAAAACTGAATTTGCATTAATTTGTATTTATGGCTTCTGTTCTAGATGAATCTGATAAATTTAATGTACACTTATTAGTATCTGTCCCCATGGAAGTTATTATTTATTTACAAATCAATGTTCAATAACAAAAGTACTGTTTAGCTCCTTTTGTGCTACTTTTAGGATCAGAGTTGATGGGAACCATCTTTAAACAGGCAAATCTACAATATTGAGGTAATGGGAGAGGCTGGATTTACAGCCTTCCAAACTGTAACTCATGTTACAATCAATCCCCTACTTTCTGGCTCGAAAGAGTTCTTAGAAGCTATGTTTACTTTGTATACAATCTAGTTGAATGATATTAGATGAATACAGAACACTAGGGAGAACTGCCCTGCTGTTCTTCAAAATACTGCAATGGAAATATTATGCCTTCTTGAAAGGATGAACAGGACCTCAGTTGAGCATCATATCTGAACAGTGCCTTCATTAGTTGCTGCACTGTAATTTCAGCAGAATGTTGTACTTAATTCTGAGTGACTAGATTCCACAACTTCTTTTTACACAAGAAGAATAAAAAAGAAACATATTATCTAAATGGTGAGATATTGCAGGACTCTGAGATATGGAGTTCTCTAAGAGTCCTCATACATGAGCCACAAAGGGTTAACAGGTAGAGCAAGAAATTAGGAAAGTTAATAGAATGTTAACATTTATTGCAAGGGGGACTGAATACAAAAGTATGGATGTTGTGCTTTAAATATACAAGACACTGGTAAGATTGCAACTGGAGTACCGAGTAAAGTGTTGGTCATGTCAATCGAGAAGAATGTAAATGCATTCGAGGTAGTTCAGCAAAGGTCTATTGGACTAATTCCTGGAATCAGTGGGTTGTCTTATAGGGAAAGATTGAATTGGGTAGGCTTATATTTGCTTGTGTTTAGAAGAGTAAGTGTTGACATGATTGAAGCATATAAAATCCTGAGGGGTCTTGACAGAGCAGATGTGGAGAAAATGTTTCCTCTTTGGAGTTAATCTAGAACTCAGCAAAAATCATTGGTCACCCATTTAAAGCACATTAGACCAAATCTTTTCTCCCAGATGGTTGTCAGTCTTTGGAATTCTGTCCCTGAAAATACGGTGGAAGCAGACTCTTTGAGTACTTCTATGACAGACTTGAGTGGATTCTGTCAAGCAAAGGTTGAAGGGTTGTCAGGGGTAGGTGGGAGATGCAGATTTGATGTTACAATCAGATCAGCCATGATCATATTGAATGCTGTAGCAAGCTCAAGGGGATGAATGGCCTACCCCTGTCCCTAATTGGTACATTTGTAATTTTGTGAGTTGAGAAATATAGGTTTCTGATGATCATTGAATTCTCTGGAATTGTCCTAAGCTATCTGAGAATGTTTCCTGGATATACTGCTATGAGCAGCACTTAAGTAATATTAATGCGATATTAACATTTTTTTAAATGATATAAGTATTGGAGGTAGAGAAGGTAGCAGGGCAGTTGGAGGTAATGAAATGACAAATCTAGGAATATGTTCAGAGTTGTAAACTCCAACTTCTCATTAGTTAGGGTTATTGAGCCAAAGGTGTTCCACAAGTTTACCTAACAGTCAGTTATCACTTACAGTTCTGAAGAATTTGCAATGTTAGTTCTGTTTTTCTCTTAACAGATGCTGCCGGACCCACTGAGTTTCTGCAGCATTTTCTGTGTTGTAACAAACAGTCATTCCAGTTTGTACAAACAAATCTGTTTACATGTAAAGGTCTGATTTATGGAGGAGACTTGTCATCCTAAGAGCTCAGCAAGTTAAAACGAGTGTAAATGTGGCAAAGTGTTGCTTGGGTTGCTGTGTTTGGATGAGTTAGCTGATATTAACCAGAACAGTGATTGGGTTCACTCCAATGAACTGCGTCATCTAGATTAGGAAAAGGAAAATCAACTAAATTTCCGCTTCCTATTAAACTTACTGAGCCTTGAAAAAAGCATGTGTGTGTGTGCTTGGAAAGAATGTATTGAATCAACATTGATGGGCCCTCTGCTGAATAACACTGATTGTCTCGGATCGACACAAAGAGCTGGAATTTGTATTGAACCTTTTGGCACCAATAGAAAGAACTGCATCATGAGTCACTTTCAGAAATGAATAAAAGGAAATTAGGAAAAAGGGATGTTAACATTACAACTTTTAACAACTGCAAAATGAAAATAGCATTTAAAAAGGTGCTTAATTCAATTGTCAACAAGCAGAGCAAAACTTCTGTTTCACACAAATGGGTTCCTATCAATTTGAACCTGCGTGCTACTTGGTGAATAAATAGGAAATGTATGAACAAAATATTGTCAGTTATCCAGAATTATGTAGCTTAAATGTTTTTTTTTTGCATGTAATGGCCATCAGGAGTATACAGTGAGTTGTTAGGACTATATTCAGTGATGACGTGGAGGTTCTGGTGTTGGTCTGGGGTGGATAAGCTCAGATGTTAGATGACACCAGGTTATAGTCCAATAAGTTTATTTGAAATCGCAAGCTTTTGAAGCGCTGCCCCATCAGGTGTCTATATTCAGTGAAACATAGCTGCAAACATTTAGTTTGCAATCCCAGTGGCACAGTGCATTGCTTTTACTAAACAAAAGATTAAGTTTCACTTCATACCGGGTAATACGTGTTGGAGAAAGGGTCAAATTGAAATTTGACTACATTTTGATAACAGTGCTTTGTACACATCTTGAGGGAGATTTTATATTCTTTCTTCAGAATTTTATTAAGTTTGTCAATCTAGAAAATACAAATGTAAAGTGTCCGGGATGTATGAGTTGCAGAGGTTCTGTACTTGGGGTTTGTGTGGTAATTTGGGCCCGTCAGTTTAATAGTTACCCAGGTTTTAGACTAGATTTTTCATTGTCAGCTTTTCCTAAGTAATTCTTAATGGCAGCAGAATCCTCCCAATTGTCTGATGTAAATCGATACTTTTAGAGAGTTCCAGATGCAGGAAAATGACCCATTGGAATCTTCAATATACTAGGAAATTCCCGTGGAGTTTATTACATCTGACATTCCACGGGGCCAGACGTGCAAGCTCTACACTACAGAAGCGACTATTTGGGTTGTGGAAAATCCAGGCTAATATCCTGTATAACTAAATTAGAACCTCCTTACCGAAACAGAGGCTCGATCAGCTTAGAAGCAAAACTGAAGTATCTGAACTTTTCGAAGTGCCAGCTGCAAGTTGTGATTATCTAACAGAGGAAAGTCATTATAGTACCTTACATTGGTTGTTGTAATTACTATAACTAGCCATTGTTATGTGATATAGTATTTTATTTTAATAGTTCTCACCTCTCCAGTTCTGGTCACTTCCATCCCCATCTGTTCCCTTTCCCCCTACCCAACCTGAACCCAAGCCACTCTGACCACTTCCTCTCTACTCTTTCCCATCTTGTGTCCTCCAGTTACCAGCTCATTTCCCCTCTGTTGCCAGCCCTCACTCCCACTCCATTCTCCACTTCCTCTGTCCTCCTCCTGATTGCTTCCCTTCCTCCCTCATATTCCCCACATCCTCTTGCCCCTCTCCCTTTTCTTCCCCTGCATTTAACACCTAGACACCTACAGACAAAAATGTAACAAGCTGTGACAATTTTTAAATACTTGACTGCTTGAAAAGAATATCTGTGGTCAGGACTCATTTCAAATTACACTATTTCATGCTCAATGATGCTGTTGCAGTTATAAGCTATTTGGTAGAGCTTTTAGGAAGATAGTGTCTAATTTCAAAAGGATACCAGACAGGTTGGAGGAATG